ACACATAATCGTGTTTCGGGATAGGGGTAATTTTTCTCTACGGAAAAGAAAATATTCCCCAAATAATAATAGGTCTTGCTGTAATTTTGAACTCAAAATTGTCTACTTCATAAATCATTTAACGTCAGCTTTCAAACAGAATATGGAGAGGAAAAAGACATGCAAACTTGAGCAAATCTAAATAATTTGAATGCTAAATTGCATTGCAGTAAAAGGGATTTTGAAAATGTTTCATAAATTGGAATCCAATTTACAAGGAAAAAAGGGAGGGGACTGAATTAGAATATGGAATTTTAAGTTATCTTTCTAATACAAAGAAATTTAGGAATTATGGAAATCACCATACAATACCATGCAATTTTTCATGAAAATTACAAAATTCCAAAGCTATCCTATTTCTAGCAGATGTACCTTTAATGTGGTCAAAATCTCCAGAGACTGCAATCTCCATTTCAAAATGTGGCATGAGTTAGAGAAAACTTGTCAGATACTAAGTTTTTGTTTCTGACGTTCTTCAAATTATTTATCTTTTCACTTAATTGAAAATAAAATTTACTATTTGATGTATTCTTCGAAGGAAGGAAATTATTTTTAAATGGTACCTTTAAGTATATTTTTAGTGCTATTGCAAAACATTATGAAAAAAATCAAATAAAAATATAAATTTGCTTAAGATCAGCTGTGTATACATTTCAAATAATGTTAAATATCTTAATTTTACCATCATCGTTCTGTCTGGAAACATATGGAATACTTTGCTAAGGTATAGTCTATACATATATCTTTTAAGTTTTTATTCTGTGTTTTTAAAGATACATTCTTTCTTATAAAAGTAATACATGACAGTTTAGTATAAAGTTCCTCATCTTTTCTTCTTTCTCACACTCTCATTTCCTTTCCTCAGAGGTAACATTTCCTATTCTATATTTGCTGTTTCATATGTACAGTTTCAGGAATTGTCTTTGCACATATGGTGTACATTGGTACCACATTTTCATATGATTACCATTTATTAAAAGAGAACACAGGTTAGATTAGTCTACATTCTATTCTACAACTTGATTTTTTTCTCACTTGATTATATATCTTGGACATTTCTCCACATTAGCCTCATTCTTTTGACTGATTACTTAGGACTGGATGTATCATTTTTTTCCCCTAATCAGTCCCCTGTTAGGGTGCCTTTGTCTCTTTGCCTACTTGTGCAGATATTTTTGGTAGATAAACTGGTAGCAGCGAAAATGCTGAGTCAACAGATGTTCATTTTGATAGAAACTCTTGAAAAAAATATTGCATGAAAGGCACTACATTTCCTAATTTTTCATCTGATTTATCTAAAATCTGGGGGCTTGATGTGGATTTAGAAAGAAAGAGAAAAAAATCCCAAGGCTCTTAAAAATCCCCTCCTTTCCAGTTGTCTCTCACTTGCAATGTGGCAAAAAATAAAAAGAGTTGCTTCAGAATTAACGATGCACATTAGCTCAGCACTAGTAGACCTTTCCCAGAAGAGTTAAATTATTTCTCTCCTTTTCATCCCACTTTAAGCCTTATTTCCCTCTGTCACACCTTCTCTGAAGGAAGAACTTGGACACTTGTCCAAGGAGAAAAAGTGTCCAAGGAGCAATTGTCAATACTCTTGTTTGACAAGATTTTTTTGCTCTAAGACCTCTTAAATAAACCCAGTTTGGCACTGTGCTAAGTACAGGAGGACATATTCATCTTTTCAGAAAAAAAAAATCATACAGAAAAATATTTCTCAAGTAATCAGTCATGAACACTAGAAAAAGAATTGTTTAGTAATATGTGCTCTTGCAAAAGTGTACATTAGATTAAATGTGATTCATTGAGACCAAGTACATTGTTTCCATATTTGTGTCTTTATTACCTGTGGTTTATGATGGGGATGCCACAGAGTATACATGTACAATATAGAATGACATTTTAGTTCAAAGTCAGTTCACAAAATGGATTACACAGAGACTATGGTTAAAATCCAAATGCATTGGAAAAACATGATTGTAAGTGATGTCATTGGTACAGAAATCTGAAGTGGTTTTATTAATTATTAAATTATTAAAAACTGAATAATTTAAAAGTGCATGCTTAAAGAAATTATTCCTTGGACACATACTTTAATAATGCCATTTAGAAACCAATTGAAAATATGTTTCACTGTGAATCAATTTGCAGTTAAATAAGGCTTTAATTATACTTGGAAACCAAATTGAGAATAAATTAGAAAAATAAAGTAATGAACCAAGCTGAGAATAAATTAAAAACAATAAGAAAGAATATGATAATAAGAAACTATAAGGTAATAAGAAATTGTATGTGATAGGCTGAATATGCTTCCCCCACAACGCACACAAACCAAGATGTTCTATTTCCCAGAACCTGTGAATGTGTTACCTTACATGGCAAAAGGATTTTGCATTTAGGATTAAATTAAGATTATCCCAGTGGTCCCAGTCTGATCACAAGGGTCCTAATGAATGGGAGGCAAGAGGGTTAGAACAAAAGAGGGGACCTGACAACAGAAGCAGAAATCAGAGTTAGATAGAGATTTGAAGATGCTAAACTGGCTTTAAAGATGGGGAAAGAGACCCCAATAGCCAAGGCATGCAGGCAGCCTCTAGTGGGTGGAAAAGGTTAAGAGAAGAAATTCTCACCTATAGCCTTCGGAAGGAACACATGGGTGCCGACACCTTAATTTTAGCCAAGTGACTTCTGACTTACAAAACTGTGCATGATAAATTTGTGTTGTTTGAAGCCAACATATTTGTGGTAACTTGTAGTATCAATTAGTAACTAACACATTTTATAAAATAGTTGGACCTAACCCTGACAAAGTTTCATGTTGTGGGGAAAAGACGACAGCATGAGATTATCTTAAAGCTGACATCAGTGAACCAGATGTGGGAATCAGAAATAAGTCTTTAGAAAAGTGTCCATGGAGTTTGCTTTTAATCCAATACATGAGAAGCTTGTTGTGAAATGAATTGGAGAACTTCGTTTACTTTTTTCTTTAACTATTATCTTTGTTATATTTTCTTTCCACTTGTAAACTATGTCCCTCCTTTGAAAAATAATAATCAAAAACAAAAAAGCAATCCCAGACCTTAGTTTCTTTCCAAACGACTTTAAGTTTTAAAGCAGGGCACGCTTCCGTCCGCAATTACTCCTGGTGGCACTACCCGGTTCGGCCGGCGCCTAGCTGGAGGGCGCTCGAGAGGCCCGCGCGGCTCGCCCCGCGGCGGGAGGAGGAGGAGGAGCCGGAGCAGGAAGTGGTCAGTAGCCCCGCAGCGCAAGCCGGGGATGGTTCTCCCGCGGTTCCTGCTGCTCCCAAGTGCGCGCTGGGCGATCCTCGGCTCAGCGGAGGCTGCGCTCTGGGGTGAGTTCGGTGGTCCTCGGGGAAATGGAGAACGCCTAACCTTGGACCCCTGGGAAGGGGTGTCATTAGTGGGGCAGTCGCTTCTTCAAGACTTCCTGTTACAAATCAGACCCATTACACCTGGCCCCAGGGAAAGTAACATCCACTTACGCTCTTGTTCCTTCAGATCCCGGGCTATTGGGGCCTGGGGTTGCTCTTGGCGGACTCAGGGAGAGGGGTACACACTGCTCCAGGGAGCTCGCGTGGAAACCATGTATAAAGGTACTGGTGCTTGACTGAGCGATGAAGGTCAGTTCGCGACTCAAGAGAATTGAGCCTGATGGCCCGGCCAGTTCCTGCCCGGGAGAGACGCGATGACGAGCGCAGCGTTGCGAGTGACACCTGTGACCCACTAGAGAGCGGCGCTCATAGGTTGATGAAATCTACACTTATCACACGGTGGGGCTGTAACGGTACCACCCCTTGTTTTACAGCTGGCGAAGCAGAAGCCAGAGAAGCGAAGGTCGTTAATGGAGGGTGGCGGGTGTGTGTCTAGAACTCAGAGCAGGCCTCCAGTCCTTTCTCTTTGCTTTACATGCTGCCTCTCCTTTAACAAGTTTTGTGGATAAAGCTACAGGGGCCCCAGCGCAACACTTTCTCCTCCCTCCCCCCAATTACTCCATTATAACTCCTGGTACATCTTCTGTAGTTGAAGACGCTCTGTTCAGGCAGATTCTTTGTTGTTTGGTTTTACCTTTAATCAACATTTATTGAGCACCTAATCAGCCAGGCGTCCTGCTGGGGATACAGCTCACTTCACCATATTGGGGGGGCAGACAGACACAGATAAACAATCACCACACACAGCCTAGTCGAGTGAGACTGCAATGGAGAGAACTCCCGGCTCCACCCGAGTTGGAGAAGTTGTTAGAGAAAAGGTACCTGTTTCATTTAAAAAATTCTACTTCTAATACATGATTTTATTCTCATTATATTAAAACAAACAACACAGCGCAGCATGAGTCTCCTCAGATATGGTTTGGTACACATCCTTCTAAACACTTTTCCATGAGTAGATGTAAATAAATGCACACATGAAAACACCACGTGTATATTTTTACATGTATGTAAGTCACTACATATATAGATAGAACTACATATAGATACACTATGTAGATCTATATGTACTATATATAGTATATACTATAGATATCTATCTATAATAAGATTATATATGTGCTTACTTTTCTGGAACTTTTTTCTCACTTTAAGTGTTCAGGAGCTTTCCATAGCAGCACACATAGCTCTTAACCACTGGATATATCCCATAGTATGGGTCATAGTTTATTTAACTACTCCCTTATTAATGGATATTTTGGTTTCCATTTTTGTTTTTGCTTTTGTAAAAGTTCTTCAGTAAGTATCATTGTATGCTTCTTTGTGTGTATGTTCAAGTATTTTTCCTACAAGTGGAATTGTTGGGTCAAAGGGGAGGTGACAAGTGACATTTAACAGGGTCTTAAAGGAGACTTAAACAGTGTGCAGGTAGAAATGAGAGAGAAAGGTATTCCCTTCAGAAGGAACAGTGTGCTTAAGGAAAGGTGAAGATATTCATTGTTCACTATATAGATTATTTAAACTTCACAGCAATTCAAAAAGCTAAATAATATTATTCCCATTTTGCAAGTAAGAAACAAACTCCCAGATAGTTTAAGTCATCTGCTGAGGGTCACAGAGCTAAGTGGGCAAGCCAGGATTTGAACCTCGGTTTATCTGACTCTAAAATCCCTGTTCTTTCCACTATAAAAATGAGGTTAGAGCACATGTGTACTTTTGGTGTAGCTGGAGGGTAGGATAACTGGGGCAGAGAAGAATGGAGGAAGTTTGGTAAATTACGTTGGTAAGGTGGGTTGAAGGACATTATAGAACATATAGGAATCTTGGACTGTCGCCTGTAATGTAGGCTGAAGGGAGTAACCTGGTGAGGTTGGATTTACCAATGTGGAAACAGCAAAATTGGAGTTCATTCAAAGTTAAGCTCAAAAGGTGAAAATTAGGCATAGTCTGTATTACCTTTGAAAATCCCTCAAGGGAACCACACATCATCTCTCAGGAATCCCAAACAGCCAGTTTTTCTTTTGTTTCTTTGGTTGAGCACCGATGAAGTGGTTCATTTACAAGTAGAGGCCATGTTGTGTACACACACACACACAATAGCTTTAAATAATTAGTGTGGAGTACAGGCTCATACTGTGAGAGGCTTGGGGGAGCTGAGACTCTCAAGGGACCATGCTTGCTTCAGGCTTTTGCTTACTGAATGGGAAGGCAGGAAATCCAGACTTACCGATTGCTCCTCCTGTTCTCCCTTCCCCCCAGCCCGCCCACCCTTGCTGAATTAGAGAAAGTTAAGTGTCAATTTGATGTGACTCTACTACACAGGAAAAACTTGGATTAGGGTAAGATTTACAAATCATTTGCAAGATTCAGTTACCAAATGCTGCATGTGTATTTTCAAACTGCCCCCAATTAAAGGGCTTGAAGAGAGCAGAATATGGACTCGGCACAAGACCAGCCATAAGTGTGCAGGGCAGGAGGACAGAGCTGTACCTTACTGTTCAGTCAGGCCATGTACAAAATACATATATCGATCACACAGTTCAGTAAAGTCAAAGGGTCAATATAGTTAGCTAACTGGAACAAAAGGGAAGATTCCTGTGACCGACTCTTTTTAAAAGTCATTTTTAAGGTAACTAAATTATTTTATTCTTTCCAGGCTTAAAGTCAATAAAAGGAAGCTGCCACAATTTTTGTACTGCTATTTGTAAAGATGTCACTTATATGGAACTTAAAAAACTCTTGAATTCAAAAAAAATTATGTTAATTGATGTTAGAGAGACATGGGAAATTCTTGAGTATGGAAAGATCCCCGGGTCTGTCAATATACCACGTAAGTGACATGTGCCTTAACCTGATTCGTTAGAAAAATACATATCCAGTAATGTACTGTATCTAACATTTAACTGAAATTCTTAACATGTTTCTTGCAGTGGATGAGGTAGGTGAAGCTCTACAGATGAACCCGAAAGACTTCAAAGAGAAGTACAATGAAGTAAAGCCATCCAAATCTGACAGTCTAGTGTTTTCTTGTTTAGCCGGAGTGAGAAGCAAGAAGGCTCTGGACACAGCATTATCTCTGGGCTTTAACAGGTGTGTAGATGAAGTATAAAAATGGGCTTAAGAATGTGTATTCCACTGTTTCACAGGTATATTTTTATTGGTCTACTGAAGAATTTCTTATAATTACTGTGTTGGTAACGGCAGAATAACGAGACTAGGAGTCTCTGCTTACCATCCTTCAATCTTTAAAACAGTCCTAAAGTCTAAGTAGTATGATGAAAAGCCACTGCCTATCTAAATCTCTAAAGTTCCTGTCAACCTTGTGCTATAAAGCAGGAGAAAATGTTTATAGCACTAATTATTTGATGTACGTTTTTAGTGCTCAAAACTATGCTGGAGGATGGAAGGAGTGGGCAACCTATGAATTTTCAGAGAAGAAACAAGGACATTGAATTTTGGACTACAAGCTGGCCCTTTCCTTGTGTACATGCAGCCCAGGATACTGGAAGAAACAAAAGAATAAGAAAGTAGCCGTGGCACCAGTGATTAATGGGAAGGGGATTTTGTATAAGTCAGTTAATTTGTTGAATCTTTTTCTCATCTGTAAATTGAGAATCCCACTTCCCCCTGCCCTCTTCCAAAGGCTATTGAGGATTGAGGTAATGCATGTGGTTTACCGTGGAAATATAAGGGTTGGAACTCTAGGAATTAATTTTTAAATAGCTTAGTATAGTTCTATAGTATTCCAAAAGACTTGAATTCTTTTGCTACCTAAACATAACGTGTGACTATTTGTGTTAGAATAGCTTCTGTACTGTACTCTTCATCAAAGAGGTGACCAGCATGGCAGTGATATAATTTGCAACTTAAAAAATGAATATGATCCATGGGCATAGTACTCAGAACAGTGGTTGCTTCTGTGGAGGGAAGGAGATTAACTGGAAAAGGCAAGGAAGAAAATTTCTAGGGTGATGGAAGTGCTCTGTATCTTGATTGAGGTATTGGTACATAGGCATATACATTTATCAAGACTCATTGATGTGAACACTTAAAAAATATACATTATCTGTAATTATATCTCAATTAGAATAATGAAAATAAAAATAGAATAATGAAAACAGAAAAATGTTTAAATATAAATGATTCCCACTAGCATGAGTATATTCCTTTGGAATGTTAAGTCCTACATTTTGCTTGTTAGTACACTAGTGCACAGTAACTGAAATTTAAAACCCAGTAGATGGTAGATGGGTTTAACAGATTAGACACAACTGATGAGATAATTAATACAAATGAAATAAATAAGGTACACATATTAATATGGATGATTCCCACAATGTTGTGAGAAAAGGCAAACTATGGAAACATATACAGTACAGTATATGCACAATAATACTATATATTATGTATTTAGTTTATACCTATATATGCATGTGTATGTATGTACACATAGTATAAGTATAAAGTATGAGAATAATAAATACCAAACTCAGAATGGCTTCCTCTGCGACAAGAACACAGGAGGTTGTAACAGTATGGTTAACATTTTATTTAGCATGTTTAGTGGGTAAATGAATACTTATTTTTACCTTTTACATGTTTGGGATAGGAACTCGGTATCCTTAGTTGGAGACATGTAAACCAGATTCTACAATTATAATACCTTTGGATTCCTGGTACTTTTTTAAAGAAAAAAACTTATAATGTATCTTATTTACCCAAATACAATTATACTTGTATCTTTTGGAAAAAGCAAAGGATTAACAAATTAATTAGAATGATTTGTTTTCTATATCAGATCAAATTTACAAATGATTTTATTTGGTATTCTTAAATAAAAATTTAACAAATTATATATCTGAAACTGCACTGACTTTTACTGACTTAAGAGTAAAACCATTACCAAAGTCTGGTATCAGATGCCTCAAAATGTGAAAAAATAGCATATGATTTAATACATCATTAACAGGTAGCTATTTTATTTCAATCATGGGAGAGTATCAGTTTTAATCTGGTAATGCAAGAGATCAAAAGTTTTAGAAATGCAGACTAGCCAGATTATGTTTTTAAATATTATAGGTGCTATATATTATTTTCTTAATGGAGGAGGATGTCCTAGAAAAAGTGGCAACAGTGCACAGCCTCAGGTTCTGAACAAAGTGTCTCAAGTTCCCTTCTTTTTCATTGTACATTTCTTACCTGCCTTATAATCTGTGAGGCCTCTCGGATTCTATGATAATGCACCATTTTGCTGTCTAGTATGTTTATGCCATAGAAATATTGGACAGAGGAAGGACCAGCAGCTAATCTGTGAGAAATTTATATTAAAGACAAACTGGAAAATTGAATGCTTCTCCCACCGTCCAGGAAGACTTACTTTTGTCTAAAAGGGCATCAGTTTATTAATGGAAAAATGTAATTTTCCACCAGCTCTTCTCAGTACTATAAGTTTTAACAAGAGCAAGGATAAGAAGGAAAAAGGAGAGAAATTTTAATAAATTATAATAGTAGACTCTGGTTAAAGTGTATCCACGTGTAGGCAACAGTTCCTACCTGATAATACTGTTCTGAAGATTAAGTCAGATAATGCACATCAAGTATTTAATACTGTGTTATTAGTGTTATGGTGTTAATCAGTACAAAATGGTATTTGCTTATTGGTAGTTGATATTTGGGGTTGCTGTTTGTATTCACTTAACATTAATGGATAAAGAAGGCTGCTGAAACTTCCAGTTAAACACCTGGGTTCAGGAATGGCAGCGAGATGCCTTACAGAAAACAGGAAGATAAAGTGAAACTCCAAGTACTGAACAATGAGATACCTACCCTCCTGACCTCACTCACCTCCAAAACTCTGACAACCCAGCTCCTACCACCTCTGATAGAAAGCTAGACGCTTCCTCTCTAGAAAAACTGACCCATCCCAAAGAAAAAAGCTTCAGAATGATTTTGGGGTTGGGAGGGACGGGTCATAAAAAAGTTCTGTTGCTCCCTTATGCTGTGAAGCCCACCACTGAAAAGTCCTACTCTTGGACAGAAGCCTTCAGTTAGCTTTCTCTCTGCCTCTCAAGTGTGAAGTATCCTGATTCTCACTTCAAAGACTCCGATCAAACCAAACAGAAAAAAAGGAACTTCAAGGAAAGAATGTGAATGCAGGGAGTAAAGAAAAATTTTAAAGCAAAAGAACCCTAAATTATTATCCTTAGAATGATAACAAATTGCATTCTCATACACAAACAAGGTGCTCCTTAAAAGAAAAAGAAACCTTCAATGCACCTTTTCTCAAGAAGCTAGAGGATGTACGCCATTAAAACAAAGGCATAAGTAAGCAAAGAAAAAAAAAAGGATTCCCTGTAACTGGGATACCTAAACAAAAAGATGAAAGAGTCAAGGAGGAATGTCTCCCTGTGAGTGATCTGTGGAATAAATGAAAATAATAATTCTGGTGATAAATTAATAAAAGATATAAAGTATATTGAGCAAATTGCAAGGCAATTAATACTTCCAGAAAGCAAAAAACTTCTTCTAAAAGGAACACTAGAGAACACATTTTCTATGTAAACTTAATACATACTGAATATGAGTTTCACAAGAATTATACAATTAAATTGGGCCGATCATGGGAACACAAGTCCCAGTGTAGAATGGGTTGGGCGCAGGGAGTTGGAGGATGGGATGGGAGTTGGAAGTGGAGAATAGGTGTATGAGAAAATGAAATCTTCATCTTCCATAGCAGGAATTTAATAGATAATACTTACAATTGAAGAAAAAAATCAAACGGAAAGAAAAGAGAAACTGGAGAGTAAGCAGAAGAGGCAGGATGGTAAAGTGGTAAGCCTGGGCCCTGGAACCCCGCTGCCCAGGTTTTAGTAAGAATCTAATCCAAGCTCTTGTCATTTACTTGTGACTGGGTAAGTTATTTAACTTTCTGTTCCTGAGTTTCCTCATCTGTAAAATGATTGTTCTGATAATTAAATGACTTCATAATGTAGAGAGCTTAGAACATACTTGTCACATACTAAGTGCTCAATAAATGCTGTAATTATAAGCTCGTTACTTGGAAATGTGGAAGGAACACAACAGCAGAGAAATGTCTGAAAGTTGCTCTGTGGAGCGGAATGAGAGGGAAAATGGGACTGAGATCTAACATTTTCTTTATGTCTTACAGCAACGCTAAGAGAATTATGATGCGAGCCATTATGTGGTCTTTAATTTTCTTACATTTAAAAAAGTAAAAGAGGTGAAGTCAATTTTAATAGGGTTTTATTTACTCCTGTGTATCTGAAAAATCATTTAAGACATGTAATCATTATAAACAAATTAGACATTTTACATTTTTTTGTTTTGTACCAAGTGTTTGAAATCCAATGTGTATTTTTACATTTACAGCACATTTCAATTTAGACTAGCCACATTTTGAATGCTCAATAGCCACATGTGGCTAGTGACTATCACACTGGACAGTGCAGCCTGTGGTAACACTTGATCTTTAAAAAACATCACCAAGGCTGCTAAATCACAGGAATAGACAACCAGCCATTATACGCCTGATTAAAGATACTTTATACAGCAGTCTATAAAGGAAAAAAAAAATTGAGCCTGAAACCTCATCAAGTCTTTGGATTCAATTGCTTATTTATAGAAATACAGAGAAGAAAGGTACATATTAAGATGTTAAGTAGCACCTCAAGGATACGTCAGCAAAATACATGTGGTGGGAAACTTAAGTGTACAAGCAAACCAAAAGGGGAACTTTTTAAATGAAATAAAGGAGGAATCCATGAATTTAAAAATATGTAAAGGATTTATTAATGAATTGCAATGTGTGGTCTTTAGATCCTGAGTAGAATTATTTAACAATTTTTTATGATATTAATGAGATAACTGAAATGAGATTTAACAACTTTTTATGATATTAATGAAGTAACTGAAAATGTGAACACTGGGTATTTGATATTACAAAATTATTTTGACTAATTCTCTTTTAGATACAATAAGACCTTTATCTTTTTTAAGAGCCATTATCTTTTAGGATCACATACTGAAATAATTATGGACAAAATGGTATTTTGGATTTGATAGGAACATGGAGGCTCATTACACTATTCTGTCTACTCTCGTATATGTTGTTTTAAATTTTACACAATAAAAAGCTGAAAACCACTACAAGGCATACGTATTTTCAAAATAAAATTTTAAAAAATATATATGTAAGCTTAAAGGAAAAATTAGGGTTAAATCAATGATGATGATATATATTCACTCTGCCCTTCCACCCCAAGCCCAACCTTAATTCCTTCAGACCTGAGGAGAGCTTTTGTTTATGTCATAAGCGTAGGAGATTTATGTTTGTCATTGGTACTGACTTTATAATCTCTCTTTCCAATTTATCTGATACTCTCCACAAGGAAGTAGAACTCTGTAAATCTGTTTATAAACCATTTGAAATTATCCACTTGCTAAACTATAGAAGGCTTTAATACTTATGCAAAGGAAGAAGGACTTTCAGAAAATAACATAACGCAGATTGAAAAAGATAAATTCAAGACACTAGTCAGCAGAGCTGGAGAATTTACTTTTATTCTTGCAGTTTTATACTAGGAAGTCAACATTTAATTTAATTATCCATTGTTCACAATTGATTTATAAAAAATTTTAATCCGTAAATTGTACATCAATATCCTATGACTCCAAATTTTATTTATTACTCTCCTTCAAGTCTGAAGAAAATGATCTTGTAATTTATTAAGTTCCACAGACAGCACAGTCCCACTGACGTAACATTTAGTCTGAAGTCCTACTCATATGAGAATTAAGAATAGCCAGTATCAAACTGGCCTGAAACCTGATTGTGTTCCTGGCTCAGGATACCTGTAGTAAATTTGTAAGTCCACACTGAGACACAAAAATAAACTAGGGTGTGTATGTCATATAAAAAACTTTTCACAGTAGAGTAAAAATAATATTAAAATGTTACCAAATTTCAAACATATTATGGTGTTTTATCCAATTAGCCTTCAAAATGCCTGATTAACTGAATTAAATGCAGATAATTTCATATAGGATTTTTTTTAACATTTGCCCAGCATTTCAAAATGGTTATGGAATTAATATAACTTTTAAAATGTCAAAGTATGCTATACATATTGCACTTTTCTGCTAGGCTGGGCTAGTATCTTCCATGGCAAGATACCAAAACTACTGAATAAAATACACTTTAAAATCAATACGTACTTGATTAATTTCCCTGAAATTATCAACACCATTACCAAAACCTTCCAGGATTTTGTAAGATTTGATTCCTTAAATACAGTTTTAAAGTTTAACTTAAGGAGGGGGAAAAACCCTCATATATTTGACTTTTTATTTCCTTTTTTGGTCGTTCAATGACCAAAGAGAATTTTAAACAAATTATGCGTTGTTTCCTGGCTTAATAAAAAGCTACAATTTCTATTATCCAAATTAAGAAAAATTATACTAGTCAAAAGCTATTTATTGTCAAATGTCTATGTATGTCTGTCTGTAGGTCCCTTAGAACCTTTCCAAACTTTCATAAGCAATAGATTTTAATTATGTACTAGAATCAAATTAGGTAAAGAAAAACTTATTTTGCAAAAATAAAATCACTTCCCAGTATGCTTGACAGAAACAAGCTATTCATTTTCATTTGTGTTCCACTGAAGACATTACTGAAATCTGTCCAATGGTTTATTTCCAACTGGTCCACTACGGAATTCTTCGGAATGTTTTAAGATTGGCTGTAGCTAGAGTTCTGACTTCCATTTGGACCCTGCTCTCCTTCACTGTTCAAGTAGGGAAGAAAGAGATTTTACACCAGTTAAAAGACTCATTTTTCAACACCCTGATAAGCCTACTAATTTTTAAAGTTAGTTATTCTGTGGTACAACTCTAAAAAACTAAGACATTCCCGATTGTAAGACACAGATGTGGAAAAATTAAAACCCAGAAGACTAACATTTGGTTTTATGTTTTTATTCTTATGTAACTTAGTGCCCTCACACATAGCAAGCATTCTGGAAGTTAGTGTCCATATACACTAAAAAATTTAAATTAGGGTATGGGATTTCATTGTCATTACAGGTATCACTCAACATAGAGATTAGAGCTTCTTTTAGACAACTTTTCTTATAAAATTAAATCGTACATGTAAAATCTTATTCCTGCTAATTATGAAAATCAAGAAGTGTTCTTCCAAAAAAAATTATTATCTAAAGGCATAATAAAACCGTATGTAAATACAGCAAACCTTTATAAGTCAGAAAGAGATATGGTAACTTCCTTGAAAATGCTGAATATTTAAAATAAAAACTAAAACTGAAAAATACCAGTAACTGTGGCAATAGGATTATTGCCTTATCTTGTCCATCATCATCTTGCAGCTTCAGGCCCTGCCACTAGTGAAGAATCACTCAGGGAATTTCTGCAAAAAATGCATCCAAACGCAGCTGTTTGAATGACTGCCTTAAACAGCTCCTTGTATAAGTCAACATTAAAATATCAGATCTACAAATCTACCTTAATATTATGTAACTTATTTTTCTTGACAAACAGTTAAGGTGGATAGCTTTTCCTTATTTCCCTTCTAACCTTTTTTCCCTACCCCAAATGACCTGATGTATAGTGAGAGCTGAGAACACTGAACTTAAATGAATAGATTCTATTAAAACAAAACAAAAAAAACCCCACCACAACAAAAAGTCCTCTTAGCACAAGTGACTCATACTTAGCAAAATTATGTTACTGGGTGCAGTGGATCTTCAGGTCACTCTAAAGCCAAAATTCTTTATCTTTACAATATCGGAGCAATCATCTACGTTGCTGAAAATGCTACTGAAATTTATAAAAAGGATAACAGCCAGTGGGGGGTCGGGGGGGAGATGGCACAGAGTCAAACCGACATGGAACTACTACAGAATTCTTTATCCTAAACTTTAGATGAACTTGCCTATCTCTGTTCTGTTTAAATCTACATGTAGTATATAGCCATATGTTGAGGGATACCTGTAATAGACTGCCATTGCATTAGGAAAAGTTACTTAATAGATGGTCAGATTAATGTAGTTTTAAAAATGAGACATTCTCAATCTATCAAGTCACAAAATTAAAAAAAAATTAACGCGTGTCATGAAGTTTTGGAAGAAATTTTACGAAACAACATAATTTATGAAAAAAAATGATAATGCATATGATATATAATTAAATAAAACCAATAATTATAGTCTACAAAGTACCTGTTTGGAGGAGGTTTTGGTTTCGGCATCTTACTAAGAATAGTTGCCATCTCTTTTCTCTCATCAAAATTCTTCCACTGCTCATATAGTTTTAGAATAACCCTGATTATTTCCAAAATCTAGAGAAAAATTAAAAGTTCTCAGTGGCAATATCAAACATCATTTAGTACATATAAGAACACACATCATATACCAGACATCCCTCAGAAAACTGAAAAGACAGTCTGTCCTTCAAATTAGAATAGACAATCCTGATGAACGTGAAAGCAGTATTTTCACCACACTGCTATTTAGGTTTTTCCTCCCAGCCTCTCATCTTTTAGTATGTATGCTCGGTCTATCCTCATCCATCTCTGCAGTTGGTTTCCTTCTACCTACTGATACCTTAAACCAAAACAAAACAGTGAGATACTGGGAACAGAGGTCTAAATCATGAAGTAGATGACTAAAGAATACACTCCTCTAATACCCATGTTTCAAACAATTTAATGGGAGGTAGCGTACAGATGATTTTATTTTGATTCTCTGTTAACTACTCTACACAGGAGTTAAGGTGCTCAGAAACTGGCAGCTATAAACCTATCAAATCCAGTTTCCAAATTAGCCTTTTCTTCTTCACCTGAGTAGATCTAACCTTGAACTGATTCTAGAACATTTTAGCAGAAAAAGTAAAAAAAAGGGGCAAAAATTACTTTGTCAGGAGAAAGGCTGTGTTATAGAAGTTTACAGTAGGATTACAGTAGTCATTAGGTAGCTTTTAAAATAATCCTGGAAATTAGAGGCTGCTCTGCAACCAATCAAACAAACCATAAGGTTACCATTCTCTTTAAGCCTAAACTGAAGAGAAATACAACCTTAATAGTCAACATCAGTTCTTCTTGCCAACATATTTCTTAACATTTCTTTACCAAAAATCTTCTTAGATTAGCTGACATCAAGAGATTTTTAGGCTCTGAATATATGTATGTATATGCATGACTGGGATATTATGCTGTACACCAGAACTTGACACACTGTAACTGACAGTACTTCAATTAAAAAAAATTTTAAAAAGATTTTAGGCTCATGGTAATTAAATACAATATTAAAATGTTCAACTTTATATTCCACTAATGGAATTTAAAAGATTACCTTCTCCATATCCACAGAAAGCTCAGCAAACCACTGTCTGGCATCTTTCTGCTGTACAACACAAGCTACATGCAGGCAAGCTGGAGAAAAAATGAGAGACAGAGGTCCATGTTTAACTACAAACATGGAACGTTTAGACTTAGAACTAAAGATAAGATATTTACTTTAAATTTTATGTGTATTTTCTAATTTTTTTTAAAATTATATGGATTCATATAGTAGTTACGACTGACCATCCATCAATTTAATCTTATACAGAAAGTTACTGGGCTATATATATATATATATTAAGGTTCTTGACATCTGCTTCTCACTGTGAGCTGGTCATGTTGCAGTTGCCTTGGCTGTTAGGGAACGTCAGAGAGGAAAAAAATCCACTGAGAAAATTAAGAGCACGGAAAGAATCCCTGAACAGCAGTACATGTAGTGGTCAAAATGCACCCAAAAGTCAGTGTGACAAAAACAAACAAACAAAAAAACAGCCAATCAATACACTAGTAAATATGAACAATATTGCATATGTTTTGGTATTTCAATTAAAAGCAGTGTTAGGGGATGGGGCTATAGCTCAGTGGTAGAGCACGTGCTTGATGTGCCCAAGGGCCTAGGTTCGATCCCTGGTGCCTCCGTTAAGGGGGAAAAATTAATTTTTTAAAAAAGCAGCGCTCTCTCTGATTTTCAAAGTTATTAGCATATAATCAAGTTATGTGAAAACCAGGCACCCTAGTAGTGAGTTCAGTATTGTAATCAAGTAGAACGGAGGAAAAAAATGTAAAGCAATAGATACAATGTAATTATATACATCATTTACAATATAAACTAACAAAGATAGTGAAAGAACCCAAAGACAATAATCTACGTCGTAACTTTGCCTAGTATAATTCCTTCCAAGCAGCCTGGCTACTCTGATCCTACAGAAGCTTGTTAAGTGTTATATTCCCGGTATGGTTACTCATGTGACTTTGCTAAGAATGACATTCTAGGCAAACAGCAACTCAGATGTGATCTGACATATTGGTTGCCTCAAGTTAAACAAAGCTATAAACTAGGGCTTAGGTCTAGGAGAAACTGAGAGGCCAAAGGACAAATTATAAAACCAGGTAATTAAAAACAGTGCTGGTGGGGAGGGGGGTGGGCAGTGGAAAATGCTGTGACAGGGCACACATAGAGTAAATCAGGGACAGAAAGACATCCTAAACCCAGACTGAGGTGATGTAGGGAGTCTGGGGATGGGGAAGATATCACTAGAGATGGTATCTGAGACAAATCTTTCAAAAAAAGTGAGAGTGGGAGCAGAGAATCTATGTATAGAAATGATGAAAAAATAGCCGTGGATTTTATCCAGAAATTGGGAGGCGTACTGAAAGATTTTAATTGGGGCACAAATTCTGCATTTTAAAAAGCTCTTTCCAGCTCAGAGTTTCTCAACCTTAGCACTAACTGACAGTGTACGTTGGACAGTTCTCTGAGACTGCCCTATCCACTGCATGATGCTGAACAGCATCCCTGGCTTCTACTCACTAGAAGCCAGTGGCACTCACCTCCAGTTGTTACAACCCAAACCATCTCAACGTTGCCAAACATCACATGGGGAGCAAAATTATCCCCAGTTGAGAACTACTAGCCTTGCTCAAGTGAGGAAGACAGACTGGCTCTCTGAAAGAGGGATATGAGAGGCCAATTAACCAGAAAGGAGACTGCTTTGATAACCTGGATAGAAATGAGAAGATGGCTCTGAGATTACTAAAGAGGAAGGCACAACAGATACTGGTTACCAACCAGATGTAGGTATGATGGGCGATAAAAGAACCTAACTTCTGGATTTCCAACTAAGGTAACTAATGCTATTCACCACCTAGCAAAGACACTGAAAAGAGTATATTTTGGGACAAAGTGATGAGTTCAGTCCTAATCATGAGTCTGAGGTTTTAGATGCCAAAGGAAGCTATCCAAAAGGCAGAGATTGATATATAGACTTGCTCAGGAGCAAGATCTTGGTTAAATAAAGAAATTTAAATGTTTCAACACGTAAGACAGTAGAAGCCATGGGCCTCAGTGAGACTACTCAGGTAGAAAAAAGACAGCAGGGATGACAAAGATGTGGCACATGGCCTTCCTACCCATGCAGATCCCAACATTCCTTCCTATTGAACCCAGAAGCCACTTCAGAATCCTTCCAAATACAGTACTTCCAGGAAGCATCCAGTACTACAAAAGTATAGCCCATTTGCCACCCTGATGTAAGAAGGCTGAGAAACAGTAACATTTAAGAAATAACTGAATAAAGCGAAACCAATGAAAATAAGTCTGGACTGGTCAAAGAATAGGGGGAAAATCAAGAAGACAAGAGTCATGGAAATCAATAGAACACAAAAAGGGAACAAAAACTAATGAGTACCTAATATATGGCAGTCATTATGTAAAAGGTACCTCATTTAATTCCTGTAACAACTCTATACTGAGTGTTAGTACCCTCCATGTTTTATAATTAAGGAAACAAACTTAGAAAGGTTAGATGATTTTCCCATAATTGTAAAGGAAGCAAAGTTTAAACCTAGAACAATCTGACTCCAAAGACTGTTCTAACCCATGCCAGTACTGCTTTCCAGATAACAGAATGGTGGCTAACTTCCTTCCAGCAAGGCATTAAGGACCACAAAAAGGCTCCTTCACTTGCCCTCTGAGGAGTTAACTGGGCTCAGGAAATTAAAGACAGGTCTGGCTACTTTATATAAGCTACAACTAATATTAGCAGGCTAAAATCTGAACTTATCTCCCTGAACAGACAAAAATGTTCTATTCAGACACTGGTTAAACTTATTTCAAACAATTTCAAAACAAAAACTTACCAAAAAAGAGGGGTGGGGCTACAATAATCCTGATTTGTGACAGTTGCAGTTCATATTATTGAAAGTTCGCATGCAAGGAATAGTCTATTACTTCAAGGAACATAAAAACATAAAGTACAATAGGGTGAAATTTCTTTAGGATGACCTAAGTAGATTATAACAATTTGACTAATAAAGGTACACCACGTTTACATACCTAAAGCTATCATGAAAGGAGGATACAGTAGGCAAAGATCCGTTCTGTAGGTATCATTCACTATCCTCCTACAGAAATGTAAATCATATTATTATTGAAAGCAGAACTACCTCATGATTGTACATTTCCCCCCCCAAAGAGGGCCAGATTTCACATATCTGTATACGCTGATTTCTCTTTACATTACTGTAACACAGATATAAAGGGGAAAACATCAAAGGAAAAAGATATATGAATGTGACAATGAATAAGCAATTTTAATGAATAAAATTACAGCTAAATTTACTTAAAATTTTAAAACCTCACAATAAATTTTAATAAGATAAACACATTTTTCTAATGTTTCCAAAATTAGAAAACCAGATAGGTTACCAGAAATTATACAATGAATTAATATGTATGTTGAATACCACCAAAAAATATTCTGATTATTTTAAACATAAAATAATAAAAAGAATCAAATTTTAATTTAAATATTCATCAAATAGATTATTTAAAGATCTTTATCATTTTGGCATTTATACCAATGTAGTTACTACAATTCAACAAGCAGACATTTCACTCAACATAAAGTAACTTGGGGCACTAGTTTAATTACTTTAAGAATACTTCATATTTAATTGTCAACCTTCCTCACTAACAACATGTTACACTATGAATAACTTCTGTTCTAATTACCATGCAAGGGGAAGCAACATGTCTTCTTGGCCCATGTCCTGCACATACTGGAGCAAAGGTCTATAAGGATGATACACTATCAAGCAACAATCCTAGAAACAGTTTAAAAAATGTGTATGTATAAAAACAGATTTATTACAACACAAAAACCTTACCATTACCCAACTGATTTTTAATTGTGTATTTCAAAATATATTTTTCTAACTCATGCTTGCTTCCCTCTTATTCTCTTAAGCAAGCAGTATGGCAGCCCTAAACTCTACTATAATAGTGAAGGCAGTGCTCTCTCTGGAATATACCTTGGTAAATCGGTTGGCAGTCAGTCAGCATCCATTCCCTTAGAGACTCAAAGTGTCACATCTGCAACACACTGAAACCTCTTATTAGCCTATTAATCCGTAATTCCCAACTGGAGGAGCAGAATTCTGCCAAAGACATAATCTATCTTTAAATATAACACCACACACATACACAAATTGTGCAAATAATTTACAGTGGCTTAATGTCCTCACTGGTTTGCTTCTAATCCTCATATTTTAGTTACTATAGAACAGAAAAATCCTCCCATCCTAAGTAGGATATACAAACTATTTTACAGGCTTCCAAGAGCATATAGGTGATGATGCTACTAGGTAGTACAATTTCACCATCACATATCGCTTGGTTTTTTTAAAATGCACCTCCCTACAAATAATTTCTTTAAATTTATGGCTTCACTAAATTTGAAAATAAGTTTTACTCTATTAATCACATGGAAGAAATACTTACCATTAATTCTAAAAGATAGAATTCACATTCTAATACCTAAAAAAAAAAAAGAAGAACATGAAACCAAATTTGATGAGTCTACTTAGTCTAACATAAGAATTTAGATATTTATCAAACATTTTTATTAAAATTTTTAGATCAAGAAAATAGCTTATATCAGAATGAACATATGCAATAAAAATTATTTTTACGATCATACAATACATGTAACTATGATTATAAAACATTTTAATCACAAATTAATTATAAATCAGTAAGAGAGAATACTGAAAATGAAGTTAAAAAATACAATCTAAAGAGAATAAAGAAATCCCTTGCAAGATGGAAAAAGAAGAAATGCCTATTAAAATGGCAATTAAAAACTCATCTAAAATAATGTAAAATTTCAAGTATGGTTTGCATACTGTTCCATCATAGTAATTCTCAACATCAGTTGCACATTAGTAACACTTGGGAGCTTTTAGAAAATACCAATGTCCAGGTCTCAAGCTTGAAAATTCTCATTTTGTTCATCTGGAGAGCTCCTGACATCGGTATTGAAAAAAAAGTTCCCAAGGTGATTTAATGGGCACCAAGGGTTGATAACCACTGCTATAAAGTATTTTTTAAAATAGTAGAAGCAATTTACCTTTAATTTAGAAATAAAATCAATTTCCTTATAGAATTTGAAACTGCCATTTCTAGGAGACTATTCAGTTTATTCTAATATAAAACAGAGCTAGTTTATATACAGCTTTGATAAGTAGTTTTATTTTATACAATATACTTACATGGTTCATCCTATAAGGAAATTCCTTTGGAAAGGCATATGAAAATCTAGTTTTTACTGCAGAAAACAAACAAACAAAAACCTTAAACTGAGAAAATGGAGAAGTGAATTAACAAAAAATTTCTCTAACACAGTGTAAAATATCAGAGGCAAAGCTAAGTCATTTTTACTAGGAGTTCTTGAAGATGCTTAGGGACACAGATGTTTTTTGTTTTCAGGCAAGGCCAAAGACTGAGCAGTAGGAAGCCCTGGCCCCCAACTATATCACAATTAGAGGGTTTCAATGATATATTTAATATATTAAGAAAATTTTAGTAATAGTTCTGCTGCTTAGAAAATAATTAAAGGGAATGGAAAAAAAAAATCACTAGCTTTTACCATTTCTATAATCTTTCCAGCTCTAGAATGGTATTGCTCTATTCCTCAGTAATTCCTCAGTTCCTTACAAGGAACACAGGTTGCATATGTGTTCGTAAGTATATGCATATATATATTTGTAAATACATACAACTGCCCTTGAACAGTATAGGTTTGAAATGCACAGATCCATGCACACACGGATTTTCCAATAAATATGTACCCCATGAGCCAAGGTTGCATATGTGGATTTTCAACTTTGAAGAAGGCCAGACCCCAAACCTGGCATTTTTAAGGGTCAACTGTATATGTAAATTTTGGAAGGAAAATAAAACCAAAAAATGTTAACAGTGGTTATCTCAGATTTAAGGATTTTTACTAATCTGTACTTTCTAAACTTTTTAAATAATAAATAGGTATTTCTTTATCAAGAGATATATTTTAATAAAATCATAAATATATGTACAAAGGTCTCTAAGGACTTTCTTTATACCACACACAAACACATATACACTCTTCTTAGTCATTAAGCACAAGCAAAAAAAACTGTTAACAATCAATCCTCTATTTCCTCAAAATGGTATGAGTATATACATTCAAGTACTATTTGAGAAAACTGAATTCAAGTCATTATGATGCAACATTTCAATCTATAAGTGACTACTGACAGGTTCCAGAGGATCTGTTCTGTGACCCCTTCCATTTGTACAAAGCCCAAGTGACTGTACAGAGATTAAAAAGAATTTCATTTATTCTATGTTCTGTATTTTCAAAGTTTTATTTTGTAATCGAATATCCTAACAACTAATTTAGATAGGTAACATCTCCCAAGATTTGAATCCTAAACCACTTAAACTCGACATTAGGAAATTTTTACTTAACTTTCCTTTCCTCTTCTTTTAGTTATTTGAAAACGTACCTATCAAGATTTCTGAGTTTTACAAATCTGTTTGATGTAAGCAAGATGTGAAGTGTACAAGCAAAACAGGCACTTATATAATATTAACAAATCAACAAAGTAAAATAATCTCCGTACATAAAGCAAATCTATATCCCTAACCCCTAGACCTTGACAGCTAATATACTGAACTTAGATTTACCTGATGCCATCAACTTCTCTCCTATTCCATGATAAAATTGTTCTGCATTTTGATTTTCTACCTCCTAACTCTTTTCTTCTGACCTGGAGGAAAATGCATCTCTCCTCTCTACTGCTACCCCTACCACTCGTGCATCTGCTTTCATCATCTACTCTTTTTTTCTTTACACTTTTAACCATTCCTCCTCCAATGAATCTGTCCCATCACTTACTAATATGCTCAAATTTCCCTTAAAAGCAAAAAACCTCTACCAAATTATATTCCTCTGTTTTTTTAAAGTAGACTTTTAAGTAGACTGACACATAAGAACACAAGAAGGAAACTGCCTGCAAGCCAGGAAACAAATCACTGCCAATCAAGAAACTGACCAAGGTAGGCACTTTGATCTTGGACTTCCCAGCCTCCAGAAATAAATGTCTGTTGTTTAAGCCTCTCTGCTGGCTACCAAAACATTATTAAGCCTTCATTAGTGCTCATGTGGATTATTTCAATAACTTAAAGTTTTTTTCCATCTCAAAATTGTTAACTTTATTTCTCACAGCACCCAGTGGTAACAGCACTCACTACAGTCTGCAGTATATATAAAACTATTTCAGGTTTTTCTTTTTTCGGGTAGTTTTTAAATCGTGATAAAGTATACATTACATATAACCTACCATTTTAACCCTTTTTAAGTATACAGTTCAGTAGTACTAAGTATATTCACATTGTTGTGTAACCATCACCACAGTCCATCTCCAGAATTCTTTTCATCCTGCAAAACTATCCTATATTCATTAAACAACAATTTCTCATTTCCCCCTCCTTCCAGCCCCTGGCAGCCACCATTCTACTTTCTATTAATTTGATTACTCTAAGTACCTCATGTAAGTGGAATCACAGAGTATTTATCTTTTTATAACTTATGTAACTTATTTCACTTATCATAACATCCTCAAGGTTCACCCATGCTGTATCACATAAAAAACTTCAAAATTCGTCTGTCTACTTCACTCTCACTCTCCTCCAATTCGCCTTACATAATTCTGTCAGACTCACCTTCTTAATGCACAATTATGGCATCACCCTCATGTTAAAAAATAAAGCTTTCAAAGGTACCGCCACTGTCAACAGGACAAACTGCAGATTCCTCACTGAAAGCTGTCTACTATCTCGCCTTAGTCAGGTAGGGCCTTTCCTCGCTACTTCCTTACTCAGCATTTTCTGAATATTAACTCATTAGCTTTCCCTTATTTTTGATCAAACTGTTCAGTGTTCCTAGACTGTTTTTCCCCTACATTTCCCCAGGTTCAAATTCTGTCTTCACCAAATTCTGTTTAAGCCTTTATGGATTCATCTAACAAATAATCTTTTTCCACTCAAAACATTACTGCATTCTGTTACTCTCTTATGCCATTTATTTTCCTCTATATTGCTATTTGCATACGGATGTCTTATTTTCTCATCCTTAAATTCTTTGTATTTATTTTTCTATCCACCATTATATCCAGTATATTGTTTTCCAGTGATAATGATGCTGTTGTTGATGACAATGAGAGCAGCCACTACAACTGACTGAGTATTATGGATTAAACTGCATCCCCCACTTTCTAAATTCCTGTGTTGAAGCCCTAGCGCCAATGTGCTTGTATTTTGAGACAAGGCCCTTAAAGAGACAAGTAAGGTTAAATGAGGTCATAAGCACGGGGCCTTAATCCTATAGGACTGGTATCCTTACAATAGGAAGAAGCCCTAGGGATGAACATGCAGAGAGAAAGGGCCCTGTGAGGACACAGCAATAAGGCAGCCATCTATAAGCCAGGGGGAGAGTCCTCAGGAGAAACTATGTTGACACCTTGATCTTGGACTTCAAGCTTCTAAAACTGCGAGAAAATAAATTTCTGTCGTTTAAACCACTGAGGCTCTGACATTTTGTTATGGCATCTCTAGCAAACTAACACACTAAGCAAAGCACTTTTCAAAGAGCTTTATTGGTATTAACTTATTTGATCCTCATGACAACCCTATGACATAGGTATTAATATCTTCAATATTAACAGAAAAGTTATACTTTGTCACGCAGAAAGCACTGTAGCTGAAATCTGACACTGAAGCTGTCTGGGTCGTATAAAACGCTATAAAACTTATGAAATAAATAAAACAATCTACTATAAAAGTTTCCTATTCACTGATACAAACATTCTTATGAATATGCCTTTAAGCCTTTGCATGAGAAATAAACAAGCCTTGGCAACAGGTATTTTACATTTTCAAAAATATATACCTTCTAAAAAATCTGGAAAACAGAGACTGAAATGAGAAGAAAATAAGGCACCTATAATCTACTCAGAGCTGAGCACTACTAACATTCTGGTAAATTTCCTTGTAGTCATTTTTCAATTTTTTAATAACCTGACTTTCCAGAGGACCATTCAATAACTTCATCAATGGGATATATTTGGTATATTAAATTCTACAGTAAAACTCTTCTATCTTTAAAAGAGTAAGATATGACACGGAAAAGACCGAATTAGATCATTATATTCATTTCAGAGAGGGAAATGACTCAAAAATATAAAAATTAGTCAATCTGGCTCAGAAACTTAACACAGAAAGCCTTCTGCCTCTTCTTCTGTGTAAGATCACAAAGTTAAGAAAAAAATTTTAATTATCTTTTGCTAGGTGATATCTTTTTGCTTAAACCAATGAAGCATAGCATAAAGTTACTACCTTATGTACAATACTTTACAATTGCTATTTCCATTAATGCCATGATCCACAGGCAGGTAAACCCCATCTTTTTAGATAAAGAACTAAGGCCAGAAGGTAAAGCAACTTGCTCAGTTATGCAGCTGCTGCTTAGAAACAGAACTGGGGCTTAGAATCAGCTCTACTGACTAGAGTCAGCATTTTTTTCTGCACCATACTTTTCAGCATGGAAGGAAAATACATAATCCTCATCAAATATATGGAATATAAGTGCTAAAGAAATAGTTCACTCTACCCACAAGAATGACACAATAGCTAGTCACTAGGAAGCTATACAATTGAAAAATAAAATTTTCTTTATCCTTATTGTAAAATTAAGAGTCACTGAGTTGATATTTTTGGATCAACAGTTACTATCCATCTTTTTACATTAAAAGTAATATCTTAAGAAATAATACTATAAGTGGTTTAAAAAATTTTTAGCCAAATATATTAGGCATAAAGATAATCTCATCTCAAGGGATTTAACAGACCCAACTAATCTCTCCCAAGTGTCATAAACTGAAAAACATTTATGTCCTATGGAACTATCTTTATAATTACATTCTTAAATCAAGATAGATATTTTTGCACTTACATACAGAAGTAGCAGCAGCAATCAATCTTGTATTTGAGACTACTCCAAATTCCTAGAGACAGAAAAGTAAACGAGATTAGGTATGTACTAATCCAATGAACCTAAGGCTATTTAGAGGTCTATTCAAAACAGAGTATTTCTTGTGTTCCTCCAATGTTTACAGTCTATTCCTCTACCTACTTGAGGGATGATGTACTTAAATCTCTAAATTAACTTTCCTTAAAATTACTACACTTTAACACAAATATTTAAGTAATAACTGAAACTGAAAATTAAATGTCTGAGACATCTTAAATGCCATTTCAATACAAAACACAGAAAGATCTGGTCACAGTTAAAGATTAAAAAAAAATACTATAACCAAATATGAAAGGATATAGCTTTTTGCAGGGATAATTCTTTACCCAAAATTCTTAAAAGCAGAAACTTTCACTTAGTAAATCATAAAACAGGGTTCTACTCAGTAAGTCATGTAACAAAAGATATTTACCAAAAAGACAAATTAAAACTCCAAGTCAATCTACAAGAGTGGAAGTTTAAGAACTGGTCTTGGTTTCCCGTACTGACTGTCCTTCAGAAACATAAAATTAGTGGTAACATTTGGAAAAAAGCACCCCAGAATACAGGTCTTCTATAGACACCTTCTTTTCCATAAAGAACTTAAAAACAACTGAGCTGGTTCTACCTCCTTAAATTACCACTTACATTACAATTACTCTTCTAAAGACATCATCTAAAAACAGAAACATAATATAAAGGATTCATATTACTAAAGATTACAAGGATTTTTATGAAGGCCAGTCAATATCTGCTATTATTATCTGGGATTTTAGCTGAGCTCTCTTAAAAATACTGAAAAGGTAAATAAGGTGAGCAGAGATTTGGTCTCAGTTGCAAGTTCCCATTTCTCTTCTCTGTCCCTCATCTAATTTCTCTACCCTCACTACCCAAACTATTCCTCCTTAGAACGCCACCCCAATCCTTCCTCTCCCTATGGCTCACTAGGTGGCAATCATCAAGAGGATAGGGAAGGAACACAGGAACACAGGACATAGGAAGCATATGGAGGGAAAGGAAGAACACTCTCAGGTTATAGTAGACAAGCTGTGGCACTTAGGGAATACTCCTTAGTGCCAAACATTAAACGTCTTAGAGGCAGTAGCGCAAAGCAGCGAAGAGCGTGGGATTAGGACCTAGACTCCAGGGTTCAAATACTGGCTCTGTCACCTATCAGCTCTGTGATCTTAAATCTCTTTGTGCCTCAGTTTCCTCACTTTTAAAATGAGAATATTTCAACTATATATCACATAGTCATGACGATGGGTTTTTTTTTTCACTTTTTTTTAACTGAAGTATAGTCAGAAATCAGTTATATTTGTAAGAGGACTTAGAACAGCATTTGGTTCATAGTAAAGTGCCAAGTAAGTGTTTGTTAAGTATATAAAATAAACACACGTATGTATTTCTTTGGTTTTGTACAAATTTCAGTATTTTACATAAATCACTGTTATTACTTTCATACAGATATTGTGAAAACTGGGTCAGATTAGCCAATACACGTTGACCATATGTTGATGGACAGAAAATTATTTCATACCTCTACTTTGGATGCCAAAAACACACATGTAGGAGCCATTAATACAGGATCTATACTTTTCAGAGAATACCTAAAATATGATCAAATAAAGTTAAATATAAAGTTAAATATTCACACAGAAAACATTTAAAACCACAATTCATATAGAAAACATATATATGGAAAAAAATCAGGACAATTCTATGGCAAACACATGATTCATTTATATATGGTTCATAAACATTAGATAAGAGTTTCAAATAGGCATAATGTATTCCTCAAATAAAACATTTTTTTTATACCTGGCATAGAATCTCTTGAAATAGACTGTAGCAGTGGCAATAACTTGTTGTCTTAATTTAAGATGTTCACCTAATGCTTGGATAACTAAAAGAAAAATAATAATGTTAAATGTATCTCTGACATCATTATAATATTAACATTAAACAGTAACCCCATTCAGTTAAATAATGACTATATTCTCTTTTAATGAAGAGAAAAACCTACACATGCTATAAAGCTCTACTTGGATCACAGTGGTCCAATACTAGGATTGCACATTTGCTAAAAAAAAAAAATATATATATATATATAGGTATGCATAAACAACAACAAAAAAACAGAAAATGCCCCACAACAAAAACTATTCTTGAATCAAGGAGGTTGAATGATAGGTATTTCCCCTCTCCTAAGTATTTTCAGTGCTTTTCATATTACTAGACACCTATCAGCATTATAACTACCGCTTAATAAAGTTTATAAAAAAATCAAAAACAAATCCTCAAAACAACAGAGGTAGGTTTGCAGAAGAATGAACTGAGGGAAGAAAGATCCTGTAACAAAGCTACCATGTAGCAGAGCGAGGATCTTCTAACTATAAATCCCCTTTCCTCCAGAGCAAACTTTGTAAGATAGGGATGACCAATAAAGGATGTCAATCCAAATAATCATTTATTCTCAAAGTCCTTTGCTTTAGCCAATCTTACATTGGGTTTAATGATGCATTATAAAGGCTTAGAGAGATAAATACTTCTAAATTGTCTTGAGTGTCTCTGATGTATAAGTCCAAAAAACTATTCAAATCACTTAAAAAGAAAGATATATAAGTTGTAAAAAGAATACATGTGTATGTAAAAATGTAAAGTAGGGACTAAAACAGTTCATCACAAATTACTATAGGAAAACACTTCAATTCAGAGGTAACCAACTGTACCATTTCAACCAATTAAAAAAGAAGTTTACCATTTGTAAAAAATATCTGTAATTTCCAATACTCTTCTTCTGAGAGAAACTTTAAGTCCTTTTGGCGTTCCTTCAACAGATCTTGTTTATCCAAAATCCATTGTAAACTAGAAGAAGCAAAGATTCAGACATCCTATAGAAAATCAACTAACAAAATCACAGAAAACTTTCTAAGATCAAACAGGCCGTTAATATTCTGAGAAGTACAAAATACAAGTAACCATTAAAGACAGTGTTTTTCACATTTCTTGAAACTTTGACACCTAGAATTATCTCACTAACAATGCAAATATGCCCTGAAAATAATCTGCCCTAATCTTTTCTCTCTTCCTTCTCAGTCTGTCTCTCCCTATCATTATTAAATAGTATTTCATTGATTCTAAGACTGTGGTATCAAGATGAATCTTCAGTGATGCCTCGCATTTTAATGGGCAGTAATGTTTACACATACTTTGTGGTAAATAATGGTGAAATTATTTGACACTAATTGATGGTGACTTAGATTTGATGAAGTATATGTTTTCTCGATTGTTCATGAGTAATTAGAGTATTTAATTTCCCTACTTTACAAATTTCAATCATGTTAAAAGCTACTTCAGAATTTATTATACCAATAGCCTCCTTCTCCTGCCTAGTCTAGTCTAGTCTATTTTTAAACACATGCAATTGACATGATCCCAAAAGATACTCCGCAACATGCTTTTGTCATTCAGTAGGTATTGAAAGTTTTGTCAATGAATTTGTTATTCAGCATCCTTTTAAAATGCTGCACAGCATTATGGATGGATCTTTATCTATTTAGTTAATCCCTACTGATAGGCATGTAAGATCATTTTTTCTTTATTACAAGTAATGCTTTAATGAACTTTATAATTCATCTTTGCATATTTGATTAATACTTGGAATAATTTCTGAGAAGTAGAACTAATGGGTCAATTTTGCAGGTAATTTTGATACTCATTGTCAGCTTGCCTTCCATAAAAGTTACATCAATTTCCATTCACATGAGTATGTCTTAAAATACTTAACTGTAGGGGTTACTTCCAATCTTTTAAATAATTTACATCTTAAAGGCAAATTAATTTTTTCCATTATCATTAAAGAAAATTTTCTATTTTACATTTTTTAACTGATCATCTTATTAAATCTTCATTATTTCTAATAATTTTTCAATTAACTAAATTTTCTAGTTAATTTTATCTCTATATATTGATAATTTTGCCATTTTTATATCTCATTTTCCTATCATTCCTACATTGAGAGCAGCATATTCAGAACAATGTTAAAGAGGCATCCTAATTTCCCTAATGTTTCACCATTAGATATCTCTTTTAATGCTCTTTTTATCATGTTAAGACATCATCCTACTTCTGTTTTAGTAAGAGCTTTCATCAAGAACAGATGTTGAATTTTATTAGGTGTCTTTTTAATACTTCACTGTTTATTAACAGACTTCCTAATATTGACTGTATTTCTATAATAAAATCAATCCCACTTTTTTATACTTTAAATGTAATGAGAGACTCCATTTGATAATAATTTATGTTTGCATCAATAATCAAAAGTGACTGTTTTTAGTGCCACCTTTGCTAGATTTTATCAGTGTTATCACGACTTCCACAAAGAGAACTAGAAAGCAAGCTTTCTGTGTGAACGGAAACAACTTCAGTAGCAGATTCTCTTGAAAGTGGGAAAAAATTTACCCATGAAATAATGTAGGCCTGGAGCATTCTTTAAAGGAGTAGCTCTCTGGTAATTTTGATTTGCTTTCAAATGTATTACCATGGAGATAACCCAAAGGTACATCTGGGATTACTTACTTTTCTCATTCCTAATTTTGTATTTTTGTATCATCCCTTTTTTCCTTTATTCAGCTAGCATAGTTTAGTCTACCATTTTGGCTTTCCCTTCCAAAGAACCAGCTCTTATAATTTCTGACTATTTTTTCCCTTTTACTACATTAATATCAGTGTTATTTTATTAAGTCTATTTTCCTTAGGTTTATTTCACTGTTTCCTTTTTAATATTTTTAAGTAAAATATTTCATTTTTATTCTGTTTTAGTTATTCAAGATGTTAATTTTCTTATAAATCTGGTTTTGGCCTCATCCCACAGATATGAATATATATTGATCTCATTATGTTATTTCCTAGATACTATTTACTGTATTTTCCATTTCCTCTTTGATACAGCAAAGTATCCAGAGTTGGTTTTGTAGTTTTATTTTTGTTATCTGTTCATTACTACATTCAGTCAACCAGCCAATACTTAGTATCCTTCTAGTTTGACCACATCATGGCCAAAGAATGCCTTGTATTCTCCTTTAACTTTCTGGAAAATACTGTCATTTGCTTTGTTCCAGATATATCATTAATTTCTTTTCCACAGTCATTATGTTTTTAAAAAGATAAATTTCACAAACAAATGTTTTAAAGTTTTCCCTCACAGCCCGTAATATGGATGATAAACCAAGAAATACTGCACATCATCAAGTTTAAGATTACACTGATTATAGCAGTCACCATCATTTCATGTGCTACTAAAAATAAATTGCCATGATTTCAGAAATGTTAAAACGGGCAATATAAAGCCATGAAATACAGCATATTCCATGTCAAGTTTCCTCTTTCACCAAAATCACCTAAAACAATGGCTTTCATAATCTTTTTGTTTTTCCAGAATTGACTATCTTGTCTTTCATACTTGTTCCCTTCTGCAGATCAGGGACTCCATGATTCTTCGAGGGATTTGAGTAAGACAAGTGGCCCCTTCCTCCACAACTGTTTCAACTGGGAGGCAAGGACAGTTTCAAAAAAGCACATTTGATATTATAATAATTTTATATTTGAAAAGTGAAAAAAAATTGGTTTTATAAAGTAGATCCTGGCCCCCTTTTGATGAGCCAACAGAAAATGAAAGCATAATGAGAATGCTTATCAAAAGGGCGCAGAATCTTTTTTTTTAAGTTGAAAAAGGGCTGTAACTTCTGATAATCATAGTTAACTATATGTCAATTCTCTCAGCTTCTTTCGAAGTTTATCAGAATACCTCTTCTTCGACACCTAAATTTCCCATATTTTAAAATTTTACCCGAGCAAATATTTCAGTGAGTGAAAACAGTGCCAAATAAAAATATGACCAGGATTAAAGCTTCCATAGCATCTCATTTCCACCAATCACTTTATAACAAGAAGGAAACTTGCTTTTCTGAAAATAGGTTTCAAAGCCCACTGTTTCTTTTCCTCTAGTGTAAACGTTTAAAAAAACTGAATAATATGACTCCATCTTCTTCACAAACTCAAATTTTAAACTACTTACTAATGCTCTCTTAGCATTAAAAGTTTACACTCAAATATCATTTTTATCTGTCCATTTTTCAATTATACAGTGGAAAGCCTAGCTAAAGTTCAATTAGTCCCATTACCCACCTTCCTTCCTGTTTAAACAATGTATTTAGGGAGAAATGTTCTCAATATTACTCTAGCTCTTCCATGGTACTGACAGAAACAAAAACTTATTCACGAAAAAAGGTTAAAGATATTTTGGCAGCCACTGAAAAACACACTTTTAAAACAAAATATAAGGCAGAGACTAATGAAACGGGTACACTTTGAGGATACTTGCCCTATACTTTACAAACATAAAACTCCATTTAGGCTTCAGGCAGTTGCAGGAAGCAGTTAATGAGCAGAAACAAGCCTGACTCGCTCCTCTCTCTCGGAGTAATATTAAATCCACTCAAGACAGAAGATGAATGACAAAAGACTACGATGTCCATCTACTGAAGATCCCAGGCAAAACCGAACCACTTCTGTCCTGAAGAGCCAGCCTCACAGTTCCGAACTGTGTCACTCTTCCCGTACCTGTGCCCTTCCCATCCCAACCCACGCGGGCCCCACCCCTTCCCTGCACCACCCCCGGCCTACCTAATCCAAAAATCCGAAGTTAAACTGTCCTTCCCCGGCAACAGAACCCCCTTCCTCCCTTCCCACTCAACAGATTTCACCCCTCTAAAACCAGGCCAGGGGACGAGACGAGAGGAGTCGCCAGAGAAAAGCGCATCCCGCTTCCGGCCGCCGCCGCCTCCCGGGAGACTCCGCGGCGCTCGGGACAGGGGCCGGGATCCAGGCCAAGGGGAGTCGCAGGCCCCGTCCACACCGCCCCCCAAAAGCCAGCCTCCGGCGAGAAGACAGAAGATCACTTACTAATGGGAGCTCTGCCAAAAGTTCCCTGCCATGGAACACAGCTTGCCCTGATAAAAAAGCACCAGCCGGCGGAGCGGCCCGCGGAGCGACCATAGACCCAGCCCGCCCGGTAACCGCGCTCCTCGATCTGATCTGGTCGGCTCCGCTCCGCGGCGGGGACAGTGAGAGGAAGAGGATGGCACCCTATTCTCCTTAACGCCGGCCAGCAACACTCTACTGTGTAAATCCGTTCCTATGCAGAAAAGTTCCGGCCCGCCCCGTGGTAGCAGAGGAAACCGGCGGGGAAGAGACAGCCCTTGCGCACGCAGTCTGAGATAGGAGACTGAAACTGGCGCTCACGAAGGCTCGCGCCTGTTGAGAGGCTCTCGCGAGAGTTTCGCACCGGTTCCGGCGTAGAGCCCGCGCAGCTGGATCTTTTGCGGCAGCTCCCATTCGCAGAGCGGGGTTGAAATCCAGAAGCCCAGTTCAAGGTTTTGTTATTCCATTTTACAGTCTCCCAAAGCACTACAGTGGCTTTGTGTTAGAGTATAAGATTTTTCTGATTTCATTCTTTCTCCTGCGTTTGGAAAGAGAAATAAAGATTATTTTGGCCTCAAGGACCTACCAAAACCTAGCGGCACCAAGGCGAATACATTCTTAATGGAGTTCTTTTGGAGTGAAGCACAAAATTTTAGAGCAGCAGTGTTTTCTTTTAATGCCAGAGACCATCAGTTTTGCAAAAAAGCTAGAAACATTTTCCTTTATTACATGTATATATGTGTGTGTCTATATGCGTGTGAACCAAATAGAAACGTACAGCCAAATATGCAATAATTTAATTTTACGCGATGAAATTCGTATTTCCCATTCTATTATCGTTGTAACATTGCTTTTTTTGTAAAACTGCTAACTCATAATTAGACACACCTGAAAGTTGTTCACAGAAGATCAGTGTTTTGAGGTAGCTTGAGACAGTATTTTGCACATTGTGCTTGGAAACCTATTAGGTTGTAGTGAAATTTAAGTGCTTATGTTACGCATTTTCCTAAATGAAATAAAAATATCAAATATGACATAAATAGGAAGGATATTTTTTCTTTTTTTTTATTGAAGTATAGTTGATTTACAATGTGTTAATTTCTGGTGTGCCGCATAGTGAGATACAGAGATAGATAGATATATAGATATATAGATATACACACACACACACACATATATATTCCTTTTCATATTCTTTTTCACTGTAGGCAGTTACAGGGTATTGAATATAGTTCCCTGTACTGTACAGTAGGATTTTTGTTGTTTATCTATGTGGTATAATTTTAAAACTTTGATTCAGTTACATATGTATATAAGTACTAGATCAAGTTGTGAAATGCATTCTAGTAGTTTAACATAAAATATTTTATGTCACATGCCATTCCCATAAAGTCTGATGTGGATTGGACTGCTCCATTCGTGCTTATCCTCCAGATGTCAAGGATCTAGTACATTTCCATCTTTCAGCTACAGTTGATCTTAGAGCAACAGGGCTCTGAATTGCAGGGTCTGCTTATAGACAGATTAAAAAAAAATACAAACTACAGCACCAAACCATCTGCAGTTTGTTGAATCCTCAGATATGGAACCTATTTGAGATTGGTTGAATCCTCAGATGCAGAACCCAGGATAGAGAGGGCCTAGTGTAAAGATAAGCTGATTTTCAACAGCTGGGCTGGAGGTAGAAGTGTTCTATGCCCCTAATTCCTGAGTTGTTCAAGGGTCAACTACGCTCCATCTTGGGTCTTTGATTCCAGGTTTCAAAGCTTTCTAGAGAGAGTGCAGAGGACTCTCACTGGTTTTTAATCAGTGATAAGAGACTTGAATCTGAAACAACACAGGCACTTTCTCTGATAACCTGTTGACCATAATAAGCATATGCCTCTAATTTAACTGCAAAGGAGACTGAGAAATGTAGGGGAGCATGCAGTATGATTGATTAACACTACTGTCTACAACACTGCAGATCACAAGTCAAAAAAGTTTGAAGGGCAGTAGCTGAAGAAACACTAGGTCATAGGCTGCTTAACAGAGGTTCAACAGAATTTCTTCAACTCTCTAAGGTTTTTTGTCAGCATGACATCTTTCAGAAGATAAGGATACTGCAACAAATTAGCATTGTTAAATGTTTTTTCCTATGTACCCCAATTACATGTTGTTTGTACCACCAGACTAGCATTCTGTTTCATACCTAATTCTGCACTCTTCTCCCCACAAAACTGTAAGCCCCTTCCTTTTTGTATCTCCTTTAGTTCATGGCATCACACATACTAGGCACAGCAGATGCTGGTACCTGAACCTGACTCATTTAATTGGGGGTTGGTGTGGGGAGCAGGTTGAAGAAAAGAGAACATAGTATTATGGACACAAAATTAGCTTGAAAAGTGAGTGCAAAAAGAATGCAAAAAGAAATCACAACAAATTACTAGAGCATTGGAGATTTAAGTCCCTTCCTTCTGTGAACTTTTAGGCGATTTACCAGAAATGCTACATAGAAATGCTTCCTGTGTGCAACCTGCTTTCTGCTTCCCACCCAGAACTCCAAATGCCCAGCAGCTCCCAGTGCTCCCAGTGGATGTGCAGGTCAGGGCCCTGAAGCTAAGACTTCATTGGTTTCAAAGTAAAATCATCTCTGAGGGATCCTCTAAGTGTAGGTTGAATTGAATTGACTTGAACCAAAAGCTAACTCATTTTAGGATATCTCTGGTGGATTAGACCATTTTACAGAAACTGTTAAAATGCCTAGATATTCGAGCTAAACTGGATGCAAAAGATGATGAGCCCTGTAAGTTTGCTCTTTTCCTTTTTCTGATAATTTTTTAAAACTTTTCTTTATAATTTTAGGCGTATTAGTTCTCAGTCCTCACTACCCACATAATTTAAACTCACTGAAATCAATTAATCTTGTCCCTTCTAATTTTTCATTTACTTTGTGCTTTTCAAAAAGGAATGTTATCAGTAAATTCTTGATGCTAATACTGAGTCTCTTGTGACAAGAAAGCATTTTTCATTTTTCTTGCAGTGCTTTCTCCAGCAACATGAATACTATTTCTTGGAAACTAGAGCCTAGAAATTTGGTGGCTTTAATCACACTTAGCTAGTCAGTGGCAAGAAGAGCTAGAATACAATTCTTCTGATTCCCAAAGCAATGAACTTTTCACCCAAGTGTATAGCCTCAATAAAACTGTAATGACTAAATGTACTGTAAGCACATTATCCCAGGTTTCTGGTAGAGGTTTCTCCTCCCAAACACTATTGTTTGAAACCATCTGCTTACTTATTGTAATTTACTTTGGTACTAACAATCTTTATTGTGAAAATGTCCTCTAGTCTATCTAATCATTCACTGTGCCTCCTTTTATTTTAATTCCTGGATATCTGTATTTGTTGAAGATGGCTAACCCTCTAACTTATAGTAAAGCATACTAGTTAAAAACTGTTTCTAGGCCAATAGGCAATGAAAAAATGCTCAATATCACTAATTATCAGAGAAATGCAAATCAAAACTACAATGAGATATCACCTCACTCTAGTCACAATGACCATCATTAAAAAGTCCACAGATGATAAATGCTGGAGAGAGTGTGGAGAAAGGTCCTACACTGTTGGTGGGAAGGGAGTTTGGTGCAGCCATTATGGAAAACAGTATGGAGATTCCTCAAAAAAATAAAAAGAGACTTACTATGTGACCCAGGAATCCCACTCCTGGGCATATATCCAGAGAAAACTCTAATTCAAAAAGATACATGCACCCCAATGTTCATAGCAGCACTATTTACAATAGCCAAGACATGGAAACAACCTAAAAATCCATTGACAGATGACTGAATAAAGAAGTTGTGGTATATATGTAGAATGGAATACTACTCAGCCTTAAAAAATAAAATAATACCAATTGCAGCAACATGAATGAACCTGGATATAGCTTGACAGCACTGACTCCTATTGATCCAATTGTATACTTAACAATCTTCCAGTAATAATTTGGCTTTCCGCATGGATTTGCCTATAGAAATATAATGCTCTGAGCAGTGAACAAGAGCATCTGGTCAATTTGGCAATTATTATTATCTCCATAGATCAATAAATTTATATTGAGTTTTTAACATAAATTTCTGTGTGCTTCATTAATGTGTGTCCATACCTAAGAGATAGTCTAGACTTGGTAAGCTGGCAGCTCAGGTTTCTGGGTCTACAAGAATAAAAGCCAGGTCCTCAAACCCGGAGGAAATCCATGTGTCTCAGTGGTCTTCCCAAATGATTACAATCTGACTTTGATACACTTTTCTCTTCAATCTGAGAATGGACCTCACTATCTAGCTACTGACTGAATGCTCTCCTGACTGCTCCCATCATATCCTTTATCCCTAGAACACTGGCCAATTTCCTTCCATCTTTTCATTCATTCCTATTTCAAATCTGTATATTTTAATTGGACTCTTTTGATTGCTAATGTTGCTTCCAGGAGTTTACAATTCACTATAAAAAGAGCATGTCTTGACACTAGAATTGTAACTAGAAAATTATACAGGATTGAGGCATACTTCTTTCCGTGTGTTTTCTATGTTTTCTTGTCCCGAGTTAGTCTATATTATCCCCCCATATTTTGTCTGCTTCACAGTCACTTCTTGTTGTAACTTTAATTTGTGTGCTCTTCACGCTCTTCAGCTTTTCTCTGTACAAGCTTCATTTCCACTCTACTTCATTCTGTACTTCTTTTGTTAACTTGTTCGTACACACAAAAATATTTTTTTGGGACTCCACACACCTAGAGGCAGTCCTGATTAGAATTACCATGACTGGCTTAGAGTAGTGGTCCTTGACCTTTGGAGTTACGTGGGGTGTTTCTAAAACATCCGATTTCTCAAACTCTACCTCCAGACCAAAGTCTTCTGTAGAACAAATGTACATGTACATGTCTTTGTATGCTTGTGTGCTTACTTATGTTTGATACAGGAGACAATTGTGGAAGAATATGTATTGACATTAAAATGATAATGGGCTTAATAGGTTAGATAGAACAGGGCCAAATATGTGGAGTCTTAGGCAAAAATTTTTGTGGAGTCTGTTTCTGTATAAAAATTCTGATTAAAAGATGTACTTCACTGGAAACTGTAAGATTAAAAACCAAAAGAACTCTTAGTCTAAAAAAGAATGAAACAATGCCATTTGCAGCAATATGGATGGACCTAGAGATTATCATACTAAATGAAGTAAGTCAGATAGAGAAAGACAAATACCATGTGATATCACTTATATGTGGAGTCTGAAAAAAAAAGAGAGAGACAAAGGAACTAAT